CGGCGGAGAACTGGGAATGGACCCCTGTAGGGCGGTTCTAGGGGTTTCCTGACTGCATCTTGGCGCAAAAATACATGGCTAGCAGAATGAAGGTCAGCATGAATCTGGGTACTAGCATGTCGTTGTTTGCGAGGAGGGGTGGGGCGTAGCTTACTCATCAGCTCTTTCAGTCTATGTACATAGTTCGCCAGATCAATGTCTGTGTCTGGCTTCGTCGGTTCTACGAATTGGGCAGGCAACCTAATGCTTGTCCCAAACACCAACTCAGCTGAGGAGCACCCAATGTCGGACTTGACAGCTGTGCGTATCCCCAATAGTACAAGGGGCAACACTTCAGTCCAGCGTACAGTGTTATATGTCTTGATCGAAGCTTTGAGCTGACGATGTAGGCGTTCTACTAACCCATTCGAGGCTGGATGATATGAAGTCGTCCGAATACGAGTAGTGCCGAGTAGGTTGGTGAGGGCGAGGAAAAGGGCGGACTCGAACTGTCTCCCCCTGTCTGTAGTGATTGTTGCCGGTGTGCCAAAATTCGCCACCCATCTGGCCACAAAAGTCCGTGCTACCGTCTCGGCAGTAATGTCCGGGATCGGAATAGCTACTGGCCATCTGGTAAAGCGATCAACACAAGTCAAAAGATAGCTATTACCTTCCGAAGGAGGAAGTGGACCCACGAGGTCTATATGAACATGCGAGAATCGAGCATCTGGGGATGCGAATGTGCCCAAAGGTACTCTGGTGTGTCGATGAACTTTACACTTCTGACACTCCAGACAGGTACGCGTCCAGTTCCTGATGTCGCGCTTGATTCCCGGCCAAACGAAACGCTCTGTTATCACCTTCTGAGTTGCTCTAGCACCAGGGTGTGATAATCCGTGGAGTGAATTGAAAATTGTTCTCCTATGCGAAACTGGCACTAGAGGCCTGGCACTCCCAGTGGAAATGTCACAAAGCAAAGTGGTGAGTGTGCCTGGAAGTGGTATTGACTCAAGCTTGAGCGAAGTGTCTGACAAGTCGGCGAACTCCTCATCATCCTTCTGTGATCGAGCTAAGGCAGCAAAATCGACAATGGAAGTTGAGTCGACGGCACTGATAGGCAGACGAGAGAGGGCGTCGGCTGCAGTGTTGTGCTTACCACTGATATGACGTATATCAGAGGTGAACTGTGAGATGAGATCTAGGTGTCGAATCTCTCGGGGTGAGTGTCTGCCCGGCTTAGCCTGCAAAGCGTAGGTGAGGGGCTTGTGATCGGTGAAGATGGTGAAAGTCCGGCCTTCGAGCATATGGCGGAAATGTCTCACGCTCTGGTAGGCAGCGAGCAGCTCGCGTCCAAACGTGCTGTACCGAGTTGCTGCCGGCTGGAGCCGCTTGGAAAAGAAAGCGAGTGGCTGCCAAGTGTTGTCCACTAACTGTTGGAGCACTCCACCTACACCATAGTCTGATGCATCGACGAGTAAACAGAGAGGAACTCCAGATCGAGGGTGCACAAGGATAGAAGCGTCAGCTAAGTCCTGTTTAGCTCGATTAAAAGCTAAGAGCTCAGCTTCATTGAGTGTGATAGACTCTTTCTTCTTCTTCCTGCCTTTAAGTAGATCTGTCAAAGGTTGGAGCACATCAGCACAGTGAGGAATAAAACGTCTGTAAAAGTTCATGAGACCAAGAAATTCTCTCAGTGTAGTGAGTGAAGTTGGAGTAGGGAACTTCCGGATGTGTTCCACCTTGTCGTTGAGAGGACAGATACCATGCTGATCCACGTGGTGGCCTAAAAAAGTCAATGAATATACACCAAACTGACACTTGGAAGTGTTGATGACAATGCCATACTCACGAAGTCGATCAAAAAGTAGGCGGAGGTGTGTCACATGTTCGTCATCCGTAGTACTGGCAACGAGCAGGTCGTCGAGGTACACAAAGACAAAAGGAAGACCACGAACAACTTCATCCATCAGCCGTTGAAAAGACTGAGCAGCGTTTCGAAGTCCAAAGGGCATGCGAACCCACTCGAAAAGTCCGAATGGAGTGGTTATTGCAGTATTTGGGATATCACACGGCTCGACTGGGATCTGGTGATAAGCACGAATTAAATCAATCTTAGAAAAAATCGTCTTACCACTGAGGCAGGATGAGAAATCTTGTAGGTGGGGTATCGGGTAACAATCAGGAGTTGTCCGAGAGTTGAGGGCGCGGTAATCCCCACAAGGTCGCCAGTCACCTGGGGTCTTCTTTGGGACCATATGGAGTGGAGAAGCCCAATTACTGTCCGATGGGCGAATAATGCCCAGGTCTAACATGTGGTCGAACTCAGCCTTAGCTACTCTAAGACGATCAGGAGCGAGGCGCCGAGGACGAGCTGCAACAGGGGGACCTCGTGTCTGGATATGATGAGTAGTCCCGTGCTTCACACCGTCGGGCTTGTATACCGGGCGAGTAATGTCCTGGTAGCTGCGGAGGAGAACGTGAAAGCGGTCATCAGAAACCCCTCTCACATACATGGGGCTGATAGTCCCAGTGTAGGAGCCGAATCCACACAAACTAAGATTGGTTTTAGTGTCGATCAACCTGCGATGTTTCACGTCGACGAGTAAACCAAAGTTAGTAAGAAAATCCGCTCCTAATATAGGCGTCTTCAAATCTGTGACAATAAAAATCCAGCGAAACACTCGTCGCAATCCAAGATCCAAAGTAAAAGATCGCTCACCGAAAGTGTTGATCGGCGAATGATTGACTGCTTGAAGTTGGATCTTCGACGCTCCGACCGATGAAAATTGAGATTTCTCCAACAGTGACTGGGGAAAAATACTCACTTCGGCTCCTGTGTCAACCAGGAAACGCTTGCCTGAGTTCTTATCAAAAATGAAGAAAAGACGACTATGAGGTTTGTCGCCAAGGGAACTTGTCGCCGCTATTCCTTGGCTAGGTCGTTTCCCTGAGGGTATGACTGCGAGGTTGAAGGTGTCGAATGCGATGTCGAATGTCGGCGGCTGGACGAGCACGGGCTCACACACTTGCGAGCTCTGTCACCATAAGTCCAGTGATACCAGCACTCAGCTCCTTGATGATGCTGTTGTCTCCGTGGACTCTTGGATCTGGAAGGACGTCGAGGTGGATGAGATGCATCGCGATGCTGACTTCGACTACGACGATCCTCCTGGAGGGAAAAAGTCAGAGCTTGCACCTGTGCTGTGAGTTGTGTGACTTGCCTGGAAAGCTGTTGAACCTCCGCAGAAACTTGTGGCGGTGATGAGGAAACAGTAGTACTAGAAGGCGTGCACTCTACAGCAGACACAGAAAATGGGGAAGAAATCTCCAAGATTCTATCCGCCAACTCCGCCAATTGTTCGATGGAGACAGAGTCGGATGACGAAGCAAGAATAATTCTGACATTATTCGGTAGGCGTTGTAGAAAAAGCTGCTTCAAAATCCCTTCCTCTAATGTGGATTCTCCTAGTAGTTGTCGCATTCTACGAAGAAGTTGAGTAGGCTTGCGGTCACCTAACTCTTCCGCATTAAGAAGCTGGTGAATTCTCTTCTGTTCGGAAACGCCAGTTCGTTTGACGAGTTCAGATTTCAGTTTGTCATAGCGATCCTTAGCAGGGGGGCAATTATGAAGTCCCTGACCTCCTGTGCTACTTCAGGCTGTAATGAGCTGATGACATGTGCAAATTTAGTCTCTTGTCGCGTAATAGCCCGCGTCAAAAACTGCGCCTCCACCTGGGCGAACCAGAGTGCCGGATCGCCCGGCCAATACGGCGGTAACTTGAGTCCAAAAGCAGTAACAGCTGGCCCGGTACTGCCCGGTGCCGTCGCGGCCGCGGCGGGGTCGGAGTCGGGCATTTCCGTTGACGGTGATGTCGTCGTCATCATACACACAAAAGAAAATATCGCTCGTAGAAAAACAAAAATTCGGGGTCACCAATGTAGGAATAAATGTTGTGTAGAAACTAAATGAGTATTCTTACCGTTTATAATAATCCTCAGCGTTGATATCTCGGGTATAGAAAGAAACTGGAAGGCGAATCATGAAGAGGAAGAATAGAGCGATAAAGCGAAGTGAAGAATCAGCACGAGGAGCGCGACTAGCTAGCTAGCGAAATTAACGCGAATATGATGAAGGCACACAACCTTACAGTTCACACTTCCCGAAATTAAATAGAAGACAAATCTAATTTGCGATTTAGTCCTCAAATAAAATGATGATGATGAAACTCGCTATTAACGTGAAAACTAATGAGAAGAAGCTTGTTGAATAATCCGAAAACGTCCTATATAAAACACGTCCGATGATGAAAACTGAAGACAGGAGAAGTGAGTAAAAACCGTGTGTGGAGACTTATCCAAGTGCGCTAAAAGTGTGATGATTGGCTTATTAAAACAATAAGGTGCGATCCGATTGGAGTAACTAAAATAACACTCTTGTTGCTGGGTGGTTCCATGGATGAAATTAACTCAGAGAATATGTAGAATGTGCAGCTGTAAATTGTTATTGTTACTGAAGCTGGCTGAACGTAAAGTACTAACAAAAGGAATGTTTAAAATGCTGGCTATGTACAATGTTGATAAACATTTGTGACCTTTGTAAAGTTCAAGTCACTACAGTCACACCACCATACCTCTAACGTTAGAAGGAAGGGCCTACTTATTATAGCTGGATATCTCCTATTTTTATATGGAACTTCTGGAGTCGGCAGATATGGGTGATTTGTCTTAGTGCAAGAAAATACTTGCTATTAAACTTTGTTTTATTATAATTAGATTAGTAATTGAAAAGTTAGATTTGGGTAGTGGCCTCCTAGTTTAGTAGTATCTCCACGCCGGAGTTACGGGTCACATTATGGATAGGTTTCTGAACAGGCGTCATCCACTCCAACTCCAGCAAAGCATATCTATAGACCCTAGGCTATACCGGTATACATGGTATAGATCTAGATCATTGCTAATTTACTCCACCTCCAGGGAGCTCCGACGCGACGCCGAGTTACATAGAATCTATGTCTACTTACGTTCATTCTTGGGCTTAATATGGAAGAAATTGCAGTTGCCATCAACTTCTTTGACAAATTAATTTGGGAACATTTGAATGCGATCTCCTCTCAGGTTGTTCACGGATCCGAGATAATATTTATCGCTCCTTGAAAACTGGCGACCATTAAGCCCACGACCAATGAGAGGAGGATAACCACCAATAATGGGTCCTATAGTGTCTCTAAATCGTACAATCGAAAAGGAAAAGGAGAACTTTGCACGTCTAGGCTGACGGTATAACAACAATAGGAAAACTAATCTCTTACTAGTAAGAGATTGTATTTGCATGTTTTTAAAATGATCTCATGACATTTTAACTAAATGATACGAAATCGCATGGGGTGAAATATGAAAAACGATGGAGCGACCAATTCAAGCGGGGGTATATCTGGGAGGAAGCATCAGTTGCTATTTTAAAACCACATTAGGCCCATTTTCAGGCACTTCCTGGTGAAATATATGACGTGAAATTGATTTCCTCTACCCCTTCCAAGAGTAGGGATCTTTTGCAATTTGAGAACCACATTTGGCGCATTAATGTCAACTGGCACTTCCTGGAACTAAGCAAGGCTTTCTCATTGGTTAGAAGTTAGAGAAAAGTGATCTGTCACCCGTCGCAACTCGGACGTTGTATATACTTCGTTGCTGCACATTATTCACAAAGACGGTGGTCTGGTATACGTTTTCACCTCTCTAGTTGCTGTAAATTAGCATTGTTTAATGATCGGAGAGGAAAAGGGGACACTTATCGAAATGAATAAGACAATTAACAAAAAGAAAAGGAGCACGTTGTGTCACATGTCATATTGCTCCCTCTATCCTCTCTTCCTGTATCTCTCTCTCTAACCCACCACTTCTCCCCCCCCCCCCCCATATGCGTGTTCCCTCCTTTTGAAAAGTCCGGCATATTTTTTTTTTTTTTTTTTTTAAATGATATTTTATTTCCTTCCTCACAATTTCACATAACAAGAAATTCACATAACAAGAAATTATCAAGATAAGCAATATAAAACAAGATCTTTGATACAAGACATTTCATAAGTTACATCAATCAATGAACATAGAGAAAAAAAAGGGGAAAAAAAGTCTTGCATGTAACAGTGAATAATCAAAATAACAGTAGAGGAAGGTTTAAAATTACATATTACCATCCTATCACAACACTCTCACACTCCCCCCCCCCTCCCCTCTAGCCCACCCACACCACCTTTCACACACATAAACACACATACAAACACAAACACACACTGCATGCAACCTGTTCCCTCAACTCACACCACACAAACTCTTAACCCCCCCCCCCCCCCCCCCCCCCCCTAGCCCACCCATCTCATCATACCCCCTTCACGCCGACACACACACTGCATGCAACCTGTTCCGGTTTGTCCACCTGTACACGAGAGAGAATTAATAATACTAATAATAATAATAATACCCACATCCATTAAAGTAAAAATGCATCGATTTGTTCCCATTTCTGTAAGTGCATCCCCAGTTTCCCCTTTTTGAAGGCTATTTTGTATTCCTCGTCTCTGTAATTTTTAAGCATATGTACTGTTTTCTGTACAGATGGCAAAGTTCCTTCTTTTCTAGAAATAAAAATGATATACTTTACTAAAAATATGATACAATTTATTACAAATATTCTCGCAGTATTGCCGGATATTCCCATAAAAATGGGTTTCCAATCATCAATGTCAATTTCGATTAAATGTAACTTTTGAATTACCTCCTGCCATAATCTTTTAACTTTAAGACAATCTAAAAATAAATGTTGGTATGTCTCTACTTCTAGTCTACAAAAGGAACAAAAATGGTCTGACTCAAAACCAAATTTAAAGAGCTCTCTTTTCGTATATACAGCCCCTTGTAATTGTTTGTATTGAAACTCTCTATGTTTATTACAAAGCATTGCACATTTCATCCTTGTGAATGTTTCTTTCAACTCCGTCATTCCAAGATCAAATTGACAGTTGCCATCTGTAACATGTAATGTATACTCTTTTTGAAGGTCTTCAATGAAGTAATCATATAACCGCCTGGATTTTATATCACATAGTTTCTGTAAACGTCCAAATATCATCAATTCTATTTCAAAATTTTCAGTGTCCACTTCCATAAAATCACTTTGTATCCAATCGTTTCTAATTGCTGAAAAGATCTTTTGAATTCTAAGCAAGCTTTTAGTTTCAAAACCCAAATTTAAAAAATGTAAGATCGGTTTTAAATGACCTCTGACAATTATATCTGATGCTTGAAGTATACCTTTCTGAAATAGTTCGACATCAAAAAATGTTTTATTGCTGAGACAAATACACTTGTTGCTAAATATAATCGGATTATTCTTATTTTCTCCAAAGTGTCTGCATTTATCTAATTCTTGCCATGCCTTCAACATGTCTTTATAAAAAGATGGTATACCCTTCAAGTCCATTTTATTTATATCATAATTACAAAGAAATATAATTCGACCCCCCAGTGATCTGAAAAAGTGGTCAAAGGTTACTTTCCAACCTGAATACTTTTCTCCATAGAGCAACCGTTTGATCCACATTATTCTCTGAGTCTTGATAAATATCTTAAAATTCGTTACTCTAAGTCCCCCAGCGCAATAATCTTGATATAATATTTTCCGTTTTATTCTGTCTCTCCCTCCCCAAATAAAATTAAAAGAAATCTTTTCGATTTCTTCAAAAATGTTTTGTGGGACTGTCATAAGAGACGAAACATAATTTAGTTTTGAAAATACATATATCTTCAACAATTTAATTTTGCCAAACATCGTTAAATCTCGTTGCTTCCACCAACCGATTAGTCTTTTGATTTTGCTCAAAATTTCCTTATAGTTCAAATCATCTTTTATTTTGGAATGACGTGCGAAATATACCCCTAGGATCTTTATATGTTGTACCCTATGTCCAAAAAAAGGTAAACCCGGCCTATCACTTTCCTCTCCTAACCACATAAAATTTGTCTTATCCATATTTATCTTCAACCCACTTAATTTTTCAAAGTTTTTGAAAACTTTCTTCACTTTATTAATTGAATCCATATCTTTTAAAAACAATGTAATATCATCGGCATACAAAACTTGCTTTATTTCTTTATTCCCGAATCCTACCCCTTTAATGCTCTCATCTTTCCTAATATAACGAGCTAGTAATTCGATAACTATTACAAATAAATATGGAGATAGGGGGTCACCTTGTCTTACCCCTCTATTAATTCCAAAATATCCTGTTGAGTGTCCCCCGTTCATCACGCAACTGCTAACATTAGTGTAGAGGGTTTTAACCCAAGAACACAAAACTTTACCAAACCCGAACTGTTCCAAAGCTTTAAATAAAAGTTTATGGGAAATGCAATCGAAAGCCTTTTCAAAATCTACGGCAATTAAAAAGCCTACAGGCTGATACAAGGACTGAAAGAATGTATCATCAATTAACCGAACCGCTTCCCCAATATTCCGATCTTTAACATAGCCCACCTGATCGTAATGAATAATATCCTCCAATACCTCCTTTACCCTTGTAGCTAATACTTTCGACAATATTTTATAATCTACATTTAAGAGAGTAATTGGCCTATAGTTTTTCATGTACAAAGGGTCTTTGCCTTCTTTCTCAATTAGTGTAATTACCCCCTGTCTCTGTGAGTTTGATAACATTTTTGTTTCAAAACTTTCATTAAAAGCCTCCACTATTGTTTTCCCTAAAGTGGGCCAGAACGTGAAATAAAACTCTGTCGAGAAGCCGTCATTGCCTGGTGATTTGTTCCATTTCATTTCCTTTACTGCCTGATAGCATTCTGCCAATGTTATCTTGCCTTCACAATACTCTTTATTTTCTTTACTTAATTTGGGTAATTCATTTAAGAACATATTTTCAATATCCTCTGTAATTTCACCATTTTTACATGCATATAAATTCTCGTAAAACTCCCTGATAATCTTCAAAATCCCTTTGCCATCCCTCAGTTTCCTTATTTTCATTATATATCTCCTTAATCACACTTTTCCTTTTATTTGACTTTAGTAATTGTTCAAAAAACGTTGAATTTTTTTCTCCTTCTTCAGACCATTCTGTCCTTGAACGGACTTTTAACCCTTGACGTGAATAGTCGAAAAGCTTCTCTAATTCCATTTTTTTCATGTCAATTTCATCCTGAATACTTTTATGACAATCAATATTGATCGTCAATCGATATTCCAGGTCTTTAATTTCTTTTTCCAATTTTGCAATGTGGACTCTTCTGAGTTTTGCTCTTTCACGGGAGAATTTCATTATATATTCTCTTAATTTCATTTTCATAAAATCCCAAAATTTAATTTTGCTCGTTATTTGATTCCGCCAAGTTTCCTCTATTTCAGAAATCTTCTTTTTTACCCCATCTACAAAATCTTTTTCATTACATAGACTACTATTAAACTTCCAATAGGATTTCCCATAAACAAAACTATCGACTAAATTGTTAAATTCTATTCTAACTCCAGCATGGTCAGGTGTAATAGAAGGCAAAATTTCAGACTTTCTTATCAACTTGTCTACTTTCGAAGAAATGAAGATATAATCCAATCTACTCTGAACTAATGGCTGCTTCTGTCTAAAAGTGAATTCTTTCTGATTAGGATGACGCTTACGCCACACATCAATTAAATCAAGCTTATCAAGAAAGTCTAATAATGAGTCCCTATATTTGCTTTTCGAAATATTACTTGCACCCATGTAATCCAAATTATGATTCATAATAACATTGAAGTCTCCTCCAATTATCAAGGAATATTCTTGACTAAATACAGAACAAATTATTTTATTTAGATCAGACAGAAAATCACATTGGGCGTTTTCTTTATTCCTTGTGGGAAAGTACACGCTTCCTAATATTAGCTTTTCGCCTTGACATTTGCCTTTAATGATGACGTATCTTCCCCCTTCGTCAATTGGCTCCGTTTAGTCTCATTTCACAACGCCCCCTATCGTCAGAGCTTGGTCAGAGTCAGCAGCCTAACATGTTAGCCTATGGACGTTTTTTTTTTAAATCGTTAAAAATTCATTTTTTGTTTAAACGAAAAGCACATCCACCCCGACGTACGTTATCACTAGCTCTTACATTGGAGCCCTCATGTCTCATTGACTTTTGAAAGTTCACCCACCGTAATTTTTCAAAATAGGTTGCA